AAATGGGGAGCATTAGTGTGTTTTTACAGACTGTGTCAGTGGCAGATTGGTACATTTCAGTCAAATGAAATTAAAAATATTTTTATGACTGAAGGCCCCAAATGCTACTCACCACTAGTTAGTACTGTAGCTCCAGTAAAAGGTTACTGCCATGATGCTTTAATGCTCCACTATCCAGATCTAAATATGCACAGCAAAGTGCAATTTGTCAGTATTTTGATCCAGCCAATGGAGATAAAGTTGTTTGTAGGCTGTGTTAGCTTTACAAGCTGTTTTAACATGAAGAAATCTGTGACATTCTGGTTCTGCTGGTGCAAACATTTCTAGTTTGGACCTACAGATCGGTTAGCATCAACCCTCAGCGTAAGGTTGTGTTGTTTACCTACATTTTTGTACTTTTTGGTACTTTTTCTACTCAATGGTAAGGTATAAGCATGTCCTGATGTTCTGTTGTCTATTAGGTTCAGATAGTTCGCTGTGGCTCTGATGTAACAGACTAAGAGAAGCATTTTTTGGACAGTCAAGATTATATAGTGTTGTCTGTATCTCCACAAAGCAGCAGCAGCATCTAGAAAAAGACCATCAGACTGTCAAAGCTCAGGGAGACGTGCACCTGTCAGTCATTCACGTTTATACCACCTCTTCCACACAGAGAAATAAACAAAAGCCTCTGCCTCAGCTCCAACTACTACCAACTACAACAGTGAGTCATCTTTCCGAATACCTCCACACTATATGCTGGTGGTCTCCTGTGGGACTGTTAGACCTACAGAGCTGACTCTGATAGAAAACCATCTGTTAATGTCATGTGCGACTCAGAGACAGACGCCCAGACCCCAGAGAGCACAAAACGCAACAGGTTAGCATGTATGCTAGCAGTTAAGAGGATGTTAATGAGCTGCTTTTATGTATTATACAGCGTAACTGTGTGAAATCATGTCTGTAGCAGTTACGGTGATACTAAACTGTGTATAGATACCAAAGTTAACATTTCTTCTTCTTCTTCTTCTTTTTTATTTTTTTATTTTTATTTTTTATTACTACAGTCCATCAGACTGGATCAAATGTAAATGGTTTGTTTTAACCCTAACACTATTTTTGTTCTCGAGGACTTTTGTTGCCAAAAAAAAACAAAAAAAAAACAACAATAACACAATAAGACAGTGGAAGACATTATTGTTCTGTGATTTCATTTATCCTGGAAAGCCTCATTGAGATTGAACGTCTCTTTTACTATAATTTCCTGGCAAAGATTTGCAGCAGCACTTTCCAACAAAGTTAGACATACAAACACGTAATATTTAGTTTGTAAATGACAGCTCTGTTTATTCAATATTATAGAATATTGCTGGAGAAGTTAGCCTGTTGTACATTCATTATAAGCTGCAAATTATGTCAACACTGAAAACGTTCAGCCTCCTTATACTCTTATGTCCCGGCCGTGGATGGTAAAGTCCGTTCCATGTTGTGTTTTGTCCATTAAAGGGATTTGTTGATAATAACAGGCCCATTAATTATCACCAGACTTGTCCTTCAGTTGTTTGTATATCTGGGATCGGTCCAACTGGCCCACCGACTGCAAAAAGCCAAACTGCCAGCCTGTGTGTGCTAGCAGATTGAGTTTAACAAGCCAGATGGGTTGTAATTGTCTGATCAATCCAATGTTTGTGAGCTTTTATGCCTTTTATTATGGTTTGTTTTCCTTACGTGCTATTTCCTCTGCTGATTCGCCTTCCCTTGGGGAGGGTCTGTGTCAGAGACACTTTTTGCTGCCTGACCAGCGTTACTTCTCTCTGGATGTGGAGTCTGAACTGGGCTGCACCTCCCATGAAAATGACCGGAGCAGCATTATCTTCCCCGCCTGTCATCCATGCGGCCGCAGTTTTACTGTTCACCTTTTTAGAACGGTAGTGTGGGGCTGCGCTATATGATTAAGTCTGCTCTGCTTTCCTCTGAGCAGAGGTTAGAGGGGGCTTTCTTCTTTAATGTTGCGAGAGGAAAAAGAATTTAGACATTTGGAAATGTCATTTTTCGCAGCTTGAATTCTTGTAGCTTTTAAGAACTCTCAGGACTCCGACTTTTCTTTTTCCTGTCTTTATGTGTAGATATTCTTGGGCATTAAAGTGCTTTCTTTCTTTCTTTATCATGATCAGGGTTTAAAAGAAACACACACACACACATACGCAGTTGTTTCTGACGTCTGCAAAGTTCTTGGCTTTTTATTTTCATGCCACATGTAACAGCAGGCCCTCTTTCCAATCATAACTTAAGAGTTGGTTCCTGTACAGATGTGAAGAGGTTTAACCTCTCCCTTTTTGGAAGCGGTCGACTGGTTTTCTTGCCTCTCCTTTACTGTATCACAGTAATTGAGACTCTTTTGTGGCACTTATGTTTCTTTTTCCAGATCTGTAATGTGCTGGATAGATCCTCAACACGCTCAATCACAGTGAACTAATTTGACTGTATTGTTTGACAAGTGTTCCTTACAGCTTGGTGTGAGGGAGATGCAATCTAAGAACAATTATGCCATTTTCTGAAAACAGTATGGGGTAGGTAAGAACCATTTTAGATTTGCACAGGTTAAATGTAATGACCACTCCAAGTGCTGGATTTCAGAGTTTGAGGGGATTTTTTGATATTCAAAGTCGACTGCTTTGGCTTTTGGCGAGAAAAAGAAGTAAAATATTGGCGTTTTATTCACTTTTATTTAGATTGAGCGTGAAATATAAGATGGTCTGGTACTTGCGTCTGTCTACGGGTTGTTCTTAGTTCATCTTTAAAAGCTGCAAGATCCGTGACTGTCTGCCACATAAGAAGAAGATCTAGTCATTTTCATACACGATGAAGACTTAATTCTCATTCTGCAGCACATCAGGTACCTAATCTGAAAAAATGGAAGGTAAAAGACCCTGAAGGTGCACTGGCATTTGCAAGGTAGTGAAGTAAAAGACCTCAAGGTTGCAGGGGACTGAAACCCATCTGAGTCACGTCTCTGAAGCCCCAGGTTGGACTTTTAAATTTTTATCGCTCCTGATATTTGTTCTCAATGGCAAATTAACAGCCTTCCTTGTGCCATTCAGTTTCCTTTCTGAAGACAAGCCCTAAATTTTGTCTAACTGCCAGGATTTACTGCTCCTCTATTTTTCACACGACAGAATCAATACCAGGACTGAAGAAGAGGGGATAAAAATTTATGGTATCTTGCAATTTAATGGTTGAAAAGATGCAATTTGAAAGATCATAAATTGTGAAGGAGCTTATGCTTCATTGCACTTGATTCAGTGCTTGCTGTTAGAACTTGATTTGCGAGTGTCTGCAAAGTGTGATTAACGAGGCGATCAGTGTGCGGTGCAGCACAGTATGGCACTCCTAATGCTCTTCATTAGAATAAATAAAATAAATTGACTGCAGCTCTATGAAAACTCTGTAATGGTTAAAAATCAAAGAATGTCATCCCCCCAGCCACGATTTAGCTTCTCTCACCCTGCATCCACCTTGATCACATTACCCTGACAGCCTTGTCTCTGAACCTGCAGGGGCCCCGAGACGAGCTTGCGGTGAGGATAGGAAAGGGAAGTGGCGTGTCGGCGGGGGCCACACAAGCTATTGCTTAGTCGACTGGTAATCATAAATCGGAGGGCTTTTGTACTCCGAGTGTTGGGGGGAATGCAGTTTGCAGAGTATTAATGCATGAAATGGCATTTCAAGCTGATAAACGGTTCGCAGAATGGTCAGCCGGCGCAGATTGCTCTTCCCCTCTTTCTCTTTTCATGAAGGCATATTGTTTGCAATAACATTTACCAGGAGAATTTATTCCACTTCAGCTCATGTTTTCTTGCCAGACAGCTTGTTGTGGAGGGAGGTGGGCTGTCAAAGTCAGCTGTTATATTCACTCCTCCTGCCTGTCCTCTTTGGATTATTGTCTTTTCACATTAAACTATGTGGAATAGGCCACAATATGAGCTGTCACGCAGTCACTTAACGTGGCCCCTTTCAATTGATTTCTCGCTACATCTCCCATGCGGTTGTTAAAATCAATTAACTATAAGTAACTGGGCAACAAAAACGTGTTTGTAAATGAGCTGGTATTGATATTTTCATCTTTCTCCATTAACAGCAAAGTATCAACCAAGAGGTTTATGTTATGTGTCATGTTGTCTCTTTGTCTACACTATTAGTGGGAGAATATCTACTAAGCATTTGCCACAGATTCACATGCAGCTATTAAACACCCGACGTGATGCACAACAGCAGCGGTGATTATGTTTGTGTCAGCTTAAGTAAATATCACATTTATAACTGAGTTCAATTTTCTCCAGATTGAACATTTCTTACAATACGACAATACGAAAGCTGTAAAGCAGATGAAGAGAATTAAAGTTCACAATTATAAGGTTATCCTCATGAAGCACATGCATTAAAATCCTATTCAGGGTTACTCTAGAAGGCACCCAAACACATACATGCACTCAACCAAGGCCTAGAAAGAAGCAGTGTTTACTGACTGTAAATGTTCAGTAGATTTGAGGTCAACAGACAATTCTGATCCAAAGTTCAGCACCTTTTTGATTAAATCAGAGCCAGAATAGAGTAACCCTACATGCTGATGTGTTTGAGATCCCTGAGCAGAGCTCTGCTGTGCGTTTGAAGCATCAAACTGGAAGCTAACGGCGACAGAGCAGGACAAATTGGGGTCCAAAGGTTTTGGGACAACCTGTCCAAAGAAATCAGGTTGGATGAGTTGGGATGTAATGGGCAGAGAAACCCTGCAGGAATGTTCCTGAGGATGGTTAACACAAAAATCTTACAGGATAGAATAAGATTTACATAACAGCTGTAAATAACACTAATGTATATGTCTTCTTTTTTGTTTGTTTGTTTGTTTGTTTGTTTGTTTTTTACATCTTTTTAACTCCCAACTTTCTTTATTCTTTAATTTCTCTTTTGTATTTATTACTGCTGTAAATTTTTGAATTTCCCCTTGTGGGATGAATAAGGGAATATCTTATAGGTATTCATATACAAAGATCGATCTGGAGGCTGAATGTTTGAATAAAAGTCCATGTCATGTCGGGGGAAAGAGGAACAAATGTGAATCCCAGGTAAAGCCATGTTTTCTGATCTGGGGAAGATATCATTCTGAGTGCATAATGACAGATATTAGATGTTTAAGCTTGTCTTTTTTTCCAATTATAAAACAATGATTTTGCTGCAGGTGCATGCACAGGCTTGTAGATGCAGACCAGAGGATAGCTGCTGATAAACCAGGTTGCCTGGTGGAGTCTGTACAGTAACTGGCAGCTGCTGCTCCTGCAGGGTGAGTCACCTCTCCTCCTGCTCAGCCAAACCTTTATTAGCTCTCTGCCCATTAAACATGACCTGAGTGCTCATTTTGCATGGAGACATTTAATTGCATGCTGCTGAGGCTCTCGTCCTAATAGGCTAAGTGCCTGCTCCTATGGTGACTACCTGCACTGTCTATGAACTGCAAAACTTTCCTCCTTCTGCAACCCCCTGCAACCCCACACATTCTTTAATTGTCTTGCAATTGCATGTACTAGTCTGAACATGTGAAGTGTGTGTTATTTTAAAAACAAATTACACACGAAACTTGGCAGGAATATTCCTGTGAAGGACTGGTGAATGGGTTTTTCAAAGAGTCATTAGTGTTTAATTCAAATCAAATGGAAGTCTGATGATTGGAGGTCATTTTCTATCACTATGCTGTTTTTCCAGTGCGAGTGTATTTGAATATAGAATGTTCTGTCCATCACGGTGAGCTCAGTGTGCTACTACCTCTGTCAAATGTATGCTTCAGTTCCCGCTGAGTCAATTCATATTTAAACTTACAGCACTCACGGCAATGTACAGTACAGTGCTTTAGATCTGAGTTTCTCCTCCATGTTCACACAGTGTCAGGTCAGACGGTGCTTCACACCCAGGAGAGAGACTCAAAGGGAACTTTGAAAGCACTATCACCATCACAGACTACTTCCTGTCAGACAGTATATGTTGTGTAATGTTCTAAGTATCTCAAAAGGGACAAAAATCCAGGTTATAGCCAGAAAACATTGAACCATCTGATTTTACTCTCTCACTCTGGGACAAAAAACATAACATAAATAATAAAAACCCACTTCATTATTTATCCACTTTACATGTAAATATCTAACCACTCCAGCAGCAGCTACTTCCCCAACTCAAAAATCCAGTGTTTGGTGTTGGCAGGTACTCCTAACACCCCTTCTCCTAATTTTTATCACAATTAAAGTAAGATTTAGAGCAATGCACAAAACAAGCACACCAATATGTACAGTTTTTGGCAGCATGTAGGTGAATACACAGTAAAACAAACAAACAAAAATGAGTGTGTTGAACAGAAATTGAATTCTTCAAAAATTATGTAGCTGGCATAATGTAATGATTAAATCTGTTTTTTTTTCCAGTCTAATTTAAAATGATATATCACTGAATTTTTGCATTTTATAGATTTAAATGGGTTTCAGCAGGACTTAACTTTGCTACTCCCTGTGTGATCAGTCTCTTTCTAATTGTAGCACCCAAGCAAAGCAAAACTTGCACTTAACTTTTAATAACATAACTTGAAATGTTAAAAATTTCTGCACCTTGTTTCAAATTAATCTAAACAGTGAACAAACATGTATGCTTATTTTTTACTCTTGATTGTGAATGTTGTGGTCATTGTCCTGGTGGTCAGCTTCTGCAGGTTTCAGTATTTTGTATCTAGAGGCTGTTTTATCCGTCCACAGTGGGACATGGATTTCTCCCCCCTTCTTTGCCTCAGATTGCTGCAGCATCTGCGGGTCAGACCTCAGACATGGTGGCCACTGATATTTTCCATGAGAGAGTACTGGATACCCTAAAGTAATTATTGCAGCATCCTGAATTTTTTGTGTTTTTTGTTCTCTTGATGATTTCCCTGGGTATCCCTTTACAAATGAAGGACAATGTGTGCAATCATTTTGTGTATTTTTGTTTTCCACCATCAGCCAAAATACTGCTAATAATCCATAAAGGATTGTTTTTTCCGGTGAGGTTAACTATAAGAGAGCGTGGACAAATAGGTAGGGTCAGAGCTGGAAGAAAACAGATCGAGTTTTTTGTTTTGAAGCTGTTTACTGGACGCTTCATCTTGCATGGCTTCTTTCCATGAATAACAGGCGCATTATTTATTCCCAAAAACTGCCTCATATGCTGCATAAGATAAACAAGTGTAAAGTACATGTGGAAAACCTCATTTTTTTATGATGTTCATGTTACAAAGTTTTAGTTACACTTGCTGACTGCTCTGTGTGAGGTAAAACAAACAAGAGAAAACATCTCTCCGCACAGCTGCTGAGATTGAGCATTTATTAACTCACTTTCTTTAAAACTGGGCACACAAGCAAGAGTAAAGGGTTGAGAGCTTTGTGATTCTCTTCTTTCAACGTTATTCAAGATTATTCATATATATATTAATATTCTTTTTAAGAACTAATGCAGAAGGTGCTTTGGAAATATATGCACAAATACCAGAGTTTATGAAAAACTGAAATTTATCAGGAGAATAAACTCAAAACTTCTGTGAGAAACATTAACATTGTGTCTATGAACAGACAACGTCAAATATCTCTGCTGATTTTTCCCTGTTCATGTGTAATTAGTGTTTTATGACTAAAAAAAGTCCATTGTTTCTGCAGTTTTTCCTGCAACATTTCTTCATCGTTTTGTGTAAGACCCTCAGCAGCAGTTTCAGGGATCAAGAACAACATTATAAAAATAGCTGAAGTCTGGTTTTCTTCATGTGGAGGCATCAGGATTCATTTCACTGTTTCCAAAACTCCTCATAAAAGCTTGACAGAATTTTATTAAAAAGGAGTATTGAGAGACTTCATTTCAGAATCTGATCCGGCAATAAAACAGTAAAATACTGTTGCACTTTATTACAGGAGCATTATAGGTAGTCGAGGTGGTTCGAATTTTAGGTTTACGGTAAATCCCTACTTAATACAATGGGGTTTTTTTGTTTTTTTTTACAGTGTTTTTTATGTGTTTTTCTTCATTTGCAGACTCACTATAGCAGACAAATAAATGTAGTGGATTACTTCTGCAGAATAAAACTGAAAAATGCTTTGATTTTGACCTGACTTAGGGAGAAATACCCTTTACAAAGAAAAAAGTGTTATTAGGTAATCTTATGTTATAACAAAGTAAAAAGAGATGATCTCCTTACTGTAAATCTCAGCCCTCTGCATCCTTCCAGTTAAACTGACTGGTACCCAAATTCAATCCGTACTGAAGTTCAGTACTTGAACATCAGAACTTGTCATTATTACATACAAGGAGAAAGTTAGTTTCAGTGCACACAGAGTGATATTAATCAGTTGTTTTTCTTGAGTTTTGCACTAAAATATAACATATCGAATCCACCTGCAGGTTTTGTATTTATTTCCAAATTCCTGCTGTCCCCCAGCACCAGAGTACAGAAGCAGCAGCAGTCTCATACTTCCTGCCTCCCTAACACAGAGATGAATATCATTGTGTGAAAATCATTGCTCTGAAACTTTAACTACACTCCTCATCAGGTTTGAGCGTGAGGAGCTGGGAGGGGGCACAGGGCAGCTGAGCTGTGAATAGACCTCATCAGTGAGGGTGAGGGTTCACATCCTTATATTAGTTATACAGGAGTCACCCTCCCCGACCTAAGGGAAATAAGCCACTTAACGCAATTATTTGCAATCACTAAATGTGGTATTCATTATAAAAGATTTTTTTTCTTCTTTGCCACACATAATTTTCTATTGTTTGTGTGAAAATGGCAACCAAAAGATCATTTAAAGTGTTATTGTGGAGAGCAGGGCATCTCCTTGTATAAAGACTGCTTTAAAGTCTGAATAAACTTTGAAATTGTGAGATGAAACTGAGCTTTATTGTGGTTAGAGAGCCTCAGAGGGAGGAAATGGCAGGCTTTCGGAGCACATTGTACCTGGGTTGATTTGTAAATATAAGCTTTTGAAATGCAGCACAATGCTCCATCATGAATATTTAACTGTGATACATTCAGGCCTTTGTAATACTTGACCTGTTTTTATTAGCCTTATCAGGAGGTATTGTGGTCGGAGATATGTCTCTCTTGGACTCACACAATTCATCTGCTGGTACCTATAGATGTGAAATCAGAGCTCGAAGAGTGTCTGTAATAATCTGATCTCTTCTCATCCCAAACTTTCCCTCTGGTGTTTATCTGTACATCTGTCTTTGTTTGATTACAGTTTCAGGAGCAGAGGCCCTCACTCTCTTTAGCCTTCTATCAGTGAAGCGCTATTTGGTAATGCAAACCAAATATCTAACTAATTGGCATTTCTCTCACGTTGCTATACATTTTTTCTCTTTTTTTTTTTTTGCTCTGCATATTTCTTCCTTGCAGATAGTAATGCAATTAAGCACAACATTTTTTTTTTTTTTCGCACAGACAAAATTGCTTAAGTAGATGTAATTAGGGAGTGACTGTTTTGATGAGGAGAACAGAACTTATGGAAAATAACCACAAACCACCAACATGGGACACCACACTGGAGCAGCTATAGAGAGTGTGCGTCTTTAACATGTGGTGTGGTGATTACAAAGGTCATGCACTTTTAGATACCAACTTCAAACAGTACATTACGCCTATATATGGAGGTCAGAGGTCTTGCTGTGGTTGGTTGCTGTGATTGTTTAGTCTTTCTACAATGTCAGTGACAGAGCTTAAATTTAGTTTTCTTCAGCTGAGGCCAACTTGATTTTAAAACCTAAGGGATATCTTTTGGAGCACTTTGGGGTCAAAGTGTTATAGCTGCAGTAAGTTACAGTGAAGAGAATGAACTTCCCAATGAAAAAGTTTGAAAGAGTTCGATTTCTGACTTGTTTAAAGCTCCCATGAGGATTTTTTTTTTTTTTAACAAATTATAAAACAAACAGAATTTAATCCTAATGTCTCTATATGAACTACAAAAGTAAACCAGAGATTTAAGATCCAGTATTATCAATAGATTATTTCTGTATTGTCTGAAACTACAGCCAGGGGGTGGTGCCAGACTGATTCAGTAACAAAAACAACCAAAACAAACCTTCTAGTTTTTACAGCTCTTTATCTAAGATTCTCATTGCAAGGTTCGTTTGACTGTATTTGTTCATTTCAAGGACACAATCAGCATAAAGGTGAGACTGCGATGTTATTTTAGTGATGTCATCTGTTAATTATGGTCACCAAATTGGAAATACCAACTCAACCAGACTTTGGGTTAAGCTAGCAAGAGACAAAGAGACAAAGTTGTTGTAGGCTATCCCCTCCTGTCAGTCACTATCTTGTTGTTCTGCAAAACTTGTTGCCTCAATATCTTAAGAACAAATAATAAAAGAATTCACCTTAGTACAGTGTTTAGGAAAAGAAAAATAATTGTTTGTTATGTATTGTTTTTATGACGGGCTGTAATCATCATGTTAAACTTTACTGTAAAAATTGACATTTTAACTTTGAGGGTTTCAGAGCCAACCTCGGGTGGAGACTACTGTTGTGTTTAAAGCAGGCACTGGGATTGATACAAACTGACAGTTTTCACAGGAGCTTTAAAATTTCTAATTATATTATGTATAATTGAGTTGTTTTTTTTTTTGTTTGTTTGTTTTTTTGAGCATTAGAAAATCAAGATTATATTTCCATCTTGTCAAACCTGAAAAGAGAAAAGGTTCCCTCAAAACTCTTTTAATGTTATACCGGGTTTCCTGCTCTTTAAAGCTCCTGTAAGGGGTTTTATGAAATTGTATGAAATTTATATTATGTCTTTCAATGGTATATAAAAGCAAATAAGACCATCAGGACCAAATCTAACAATTTTCATAGTGTAGTCTTCATTGACTGAAATTGGTCGAGGGGATGGGGAAAAAAACTCTCTTTTACATTTTCCTCATTAAATATTCACAAAAATTAATACATTCACTGTCATGGGCCCGTAAGATGACATTTTGGGTCAGAAGATGCTACTTAAGCACGTAGAGGACAACGTTAAAAGACAGTTTGGTCCACTGGGGGGTGACAAAATTGACACAAGTTAAAGTTCCTCACAGGAGCTTTAAGCTGTTGACAAATCCTAATTGAAGGACATCAAATCTGATTTTTGAAAAAGATTCTCAACATATTTTGCAGTTTTCTGTTATTTTCAAGCCAAAATACTATTTGACTGGTCAAGAAAAAGGACACTAGATTAATACAGAGTTGATAGAGTAATTGGTTTTCCAGTCACAGGGAGTATAATCAATCAATCAATCAATCAATCAATCTTTATTTTTATTAGACCTTTCATACAAATCTACTGCAGTTTTAAGTGTTTTACAGTGATAAATAGCAGTATAACACTGACCAAGTCTTGCATGAGGATCGTTTGCACATTTATCTGTAATGTAGTCTACCTTTCTGAAATAGTGTTTCACATTGTGCAACAGCTCATTAAGTCTCGCCTCGGTGTTGTGTCTTCAAAATACATTGAAAACCTTTCATTTAGCTTGAAAGCAGTTGAACCAGTCCCTGTTCCCATTAAATCCCATCATACACTGAGCTAAGAGTTGGAGAACTTGTGGCGGCATGCGCATCTGTGTGAAAACTGGTGGCAGCATGATGCGTCACAATCGCCTCTGATCAGTTACAATGGAAATAAATAATTCATGCTGGAGGAAATGAGTCTAATTAGCAGGCAGTTTGGGTCCTTTGATAAAGCTGGGGACTAATTCTATGAAGGGCAGGAAGCTCTGTCATCAGTCAGCCCTGAACAGATTAGCATCTATTATGAATGAGGGACGAGCACCCTGGTGAAACCAAGTGTGTCCAAGAGACAAACTTAATAACTCCTGCGATGGGACAAACTTCCCCGCACCCTTCACACACCCACCACCACCTCCTCCTCCTCCTCCTCCTCCTCCTCCTATTCCTCCTCCTCCTCCACAGCAACACACACATACCCACCCTCTTTTTTCTCCTCTCCCTCATCAGTCTGCTCTCCTATCCTGCAGGTTCTATTGTGTGCAGGTAGAAGAAGCACGCCGCTGCAATGGAGGAACTCGCCCCTCTGTCCATCACTCTGACAGCTGTGGAAATACATTCGCCATGCCGCATTAAGAAGCGTCCACAGTCTTTAACTCCACACTTAAACACAAAGGAAAATCCAGGGCACCTTCCTCCACGCGCATTTTCCACTCTCTCCACCACATTTCCTGCTTTTAAACAAATATCACTTTCTGTCAGTACATTTATCCTCCCAAGGTTTGTTTTCAGCTTGAGCAGAGTGTAGCGCATGAAAAAAGATGCCCCGTGTGATGTAGATGTCTCTCCCATTTTTTGCAGGAACAACACAATAAAGGCCAATTAGAACTGAGTGCAGAGCAGCTCTGACAAGCAGAGGTCCCGGTATCAGGGGGGGGACAAGCGTGGGCGGGGTGGGCCTGTCAGCACTACATTGAGGGAGATAACAATAAATAGCTAATAATGACACTTAATGAGCTTGATTTAGTTGATTTAGTTGATGGAAAAGGTGCAGCAAACGGTGGATGTAGGTGATGCGATGAGAGATTTTAATAGATAGGAAACTCTGTTGGGGCTTCTCTGCACAATGGGGCTGCAAAGGGGGGAAAAAAACGGTACAAAGGGATGCTGAATGGATCCTCACGAGACATTTTGGAGATAATTAGATAAATCTCACGCTAACATTCTGCACATCGTTCACTCAAGGACATCATGAGCATGTTACATTTTGCTCAGCATACAGAGGAATTCATATGTTTTGAAGAAATGGTAGCTCTGATTATGTTCAACTTACATGTTTCCAGCAAGCGCAGTATGTTCCTACAGTATATGAATGCGGTTAAATGCTATTATGGGAGCAGTAATGACTGCCAGATAATTATCCCTCCCACTCACACTTGACGGCTGCTGAATTTCTCTCATTTCACCACATAATTGTCTATGATTGAATCGGAGATTTTATATACTTCCCTGTTCTTTCAGGCTGACTTTCCACAGTGATGGTGGAGGTTATCACAGGCCCTACAAGCCCCTGTCGAATTGCCCTGTAAACAACATGCAAAAGTTTCCTCGGCTTTCAGTGCTCCTCTCCCAATTTTCCCTCGAAAGCGACGGAAAAAAGTCATATGAAGGGAAGTTTAATTAAGTAAGAACCTGTTGAGGAAGATTTCCAATTATGGTCTTCAGAATGAGTGCATTCAGCGTATTCATCTCCAGGCAATATGCTCTCTCTTTATCCAAGTGTGCGCTGCAGTTCTCTAGAGGGACCCCAGTTAATTGAATACATTAAAGGAGAGCGCCGGAGGCTTTATTTATTTTTCTACTTTAGTCAGACTTGTTTAAAGGGGACCCACTGCTGATGTTTGGCCCCTTCTAGAGTTTAAATGGTCTCTACACTGGGAGTGGTGTGCAGGAGTAGTGGTTAGAGAAGAGATTTGATGTAATCCGCAGCCTTATTTATTCACCATGAACCCCTGAGTGAGCCTAGTTTATGTATTTGGCAGCCATTCAAATGAGCATCTCGGGCCTCAGGCCTGTGTGCCATTATGTACCTAAAGGACTGAATACAGAGGGACCTACAGAGGCTTCATTTTGTTCCCTGTAATGTTTGTCTGCTGCTGCTGCGCTACGTCTCTTTTGAAACTTTTGCAAGTTCAGACACATTTTTCTTATAAAAGTTAGTTTGACCCATTTCACATGATTGCTCTTGATTGTGGCATCTGGCACATAAACATATTTTGAAAGCATGAGTCTTGTGCTTTTGGTTCATTCTCAGACATGCACCAACATTTTTGTGTTTCTTGTGAACACATACGCATGACAAATTTACACTTTTTCAAAGTTTAGATGTTTGGGAAATTTTTCATTGACCATGTTTAACATTTCTTTTCTTACAGACTTTTAATTTGAAAGTGATGACACATGCTTTGCAGGGGAAGACATGACTCAAGCTTGTGGAGAAAATATCTTTTCTTTTTTTTTTTACCCTTTGACTGTTAATAGAGTACCCACTAAAATTACCTTTTACAGATATTAAAGCTCCTGTGAGGAACTTTCTGTTGGCGAGTAACCCAACCTGCCATAACTTTAGGAACACCTGGGGGATCTAATGCAGCCCAAAACAGCAGTGCTACTATAAATCCTACTTTGAGGAAGCTTTAAATTTTCAGTTTTTTAGAGAGGAGATCCCTGCACGTTTATTGAAGACGTCGCGTGCGGTACTGAAGTGTGTTATTTTGTTAGATTGCCTAGGTGTTCATAATGTTATGGCTGATTGGTGTATTTTGGCTCCCTTTAATGACAAAGCGGTACCTCTTACATCTTTGCTGGTTTTGTCTTTTTCATTAGCTTTCTTTTAAAAAGAATATGTCAGATTCACTGATGTTATTTGCACCTGCCCCTTCTCAGAGGTTGTAGGCTCTAAAATGTTCAACATAGAAAAAGTGAAACCTTGTTGTTGATGGTTTGTTTGCTTTTGAGAGACATAAAGAAGCATCACTGTTATTTCCGGCCTTTTTCATAACCTTTCAAAAACTCCTTATAGGAGCTTTAATCAGGTAACTTTAAGTTACAGTATAAGGTGTTTTGTTTGTTTAGAATAATTACAGTCTCATTTTGTTGAGGGAAAATTTAAATCTGATTTCACTGGTTAAATTAAATTAATTTCACTTAATGGGGTCGATGCATTTAAACATAGTTTCTATACAGAGCATGAAACAGAAGTGTTGGTCACTTGAGTAAAAGTTTGTACAATGTTGGACCTTTATTGCAATTTAATAAACACTGCAATTAAATATACAGCATTATATAACATAGAAACACATAAAACACCTGAACCATTATTTGAAAAATGCATCAATCTTATACACTGGTATATAAGAATTTAAAATATAACAGGCTAAATGGGAACAAGTACTTGGCCTTTATGACTATCTTAAATCTAGGATTGATCTTGTTAACAGTGTTTTACATATTTGACAGCTGACCGTACAAATTTAAAATGTTCTGTTACAGTAGATGTTTATCATGTTTCTCTGTTACTGTCCTGCTATTGTAAACATCAGGATGGAGGTTCAGGAGCTAAATTGTAAATATATAACAACTGTTTTAAAGCAAACACTATATTATAAGAAGCTGTACATGCACGGCTTTCAATTACACAAAGAGTAAACAGGACCTGTGTGTGTGCAGGTCAGAGGTAGTGCAGAAACAGACCGAGCTAATTCTGGTACAAGTAGACTGACTGCTGGACCTCAGGTTATTAACATCATGTGAGGTGTGAAATCCAGACTGGTGGCTCTCCTGAGATCAGATCCCCGGACGATCCTCATTAGTCAACATGCTCTTCACCTCCATCGTCACATTTATCACGACGACACAGAGAACTTCCTTGCACAAGCACATTATATGCTCATTAATAACCTGGTACAACATTCATCTTGTTCCAGGGAAATTAATTTCCTTGCTGTGCTGCACTTGTCCATTTAAACCAATTGTCAAAAACCTTTTTTTTTCTTTGTTTTGCAGCGCAGGAGTGCTGTGTCCCTTCAATCATAGTTAAAAAGCTAATGGGACAAATGTTATTAAGCATTATATTAAACTGGCCAAAACGAATAGAAAGGGAGTGAGAAATCCTACCCTGCTTTTTCACGAGTTTGCAGCCAAAAGTGTTTTTAAAGGCTTACTTGTGTTTAAATCTGAGCTCTGATTTAAATATAAGGATGGCTTTCAATAAAGGACTAAAGTGAGTAAGATTTAAAATGGCCAAGGTGATTAAGAGCAACCGTGCTGGACATTTATGTAGCAGGACTGCACGTAATGAATAAAGATTCATGCTTTAGTTCCAAATTTTTTTTTTTTTTTTCCACAAAATGGTGCCTGATGTAGTCAGCTTTTAATCACCTCGCTGACAGGAGTAACTGCTTTCATTTAACCTTGACTGAAGATCATGAATTCTAAAGCGTTTAATTGGATACGTCATTTAACAGAATGAACAGAGCAAATTTTCACCAATTCAAAGGCTCAGATTGACAGACAGTGGCAGTAAGACCCACCACAATTAAAGCTGATCTGTATTCACTGGCCCTGTCACCCGTCGCCATTAGTGATGTGACTGTTTGATCATCTCTGCACTGAAACTTTGCTGAACTTCACCTTGTTTTGAAAGGACTCAACGGTGAATGAAAGACGGGGGTTGAGGAAGGGGAAGGAGGATAGCAACACACACGCACACACACGCACGCACACACCTCACTACCTCTGCGACCAAAGCTCCCTCTGATGCACCTCTGCTTTAACAGCGTCCTGAAAGTGGACGTGACAGCTCAAAAGACAACAGTTCAAATCTTGCTCATTATGTTTATTATCTCCATCAGCGGCTTAATTGAAATGTTTCAAAATCAGAAAATAACAATGCCATCTTTTCGAGACACTGGAAGTAATGGCTTTGTCTCGTCGCTCTCTGCAGACAATTGCCCCAGTGATGTGAAAAACTGTGTCAAGTGGTACACAGAGAGATGTGCGGCAGACACTTAATTGTTTTCTCTGCCTTTGACTTCAGAGAGAACAAATTCAATCTGCGTGCCAGACATTTCCTCTGTGACTCAGCCTAACCAGCCAAAGCATGTTTGGTTAAGCAACAAGCCCCAGGGTTAGATCTTACATTTTGCAATTACACTTTTTTTTCCTTTTTTTTTTTAATCCACAAAAAACACAATGTGTTATTTAAATGAACATAGCTTTGGGATATTCCCGCAAACCAGATCCAATATAGTGGTTTCTCAAAGTGAGGTCTAGGGGAACCCCTGTGGGCCCAGAGGAGAGCCCTGGGGGTTCCCCAGAAAAATGAATTATAGATTAATTTCGCCTATTTTCAACTCATAATTTCATACGGGAGAATAGATTGTCTGTTTTTGGGTCATCAAAAAGACATCTCTATATTAATGGCGGAAGTCTTGGATGTTTCATAGTAGTATTTTTCTGTCTCAATTTTGATCATGAACAAAAATGTACATCTCACGAAGTTCATTTTTAAGTTTAAATAAAACATAATTCAAACAAAACAAATACTGTGCACCTTTTAGTAAAACTCAGTACACAAAACCACAACTGTGGAAAGGACTGTTGACTTGGTAGTTGTCCTGGAAACCATCGCTGACACCCTCCACATAAAGGATTAGCCTCAGAAGGTCATTGT